TTCTCATTTTAACAGGGGTGTTTCAGAGGGAGAGCAGGGTGCTGTCAAATCTGGGGTTTGGAAAATTCACTGGAAAAAGGCAGACTGGGAGAGTTTGCATTGTTTAATAAATAAATTACTAGAATTGTTCAAGGATGGCTAGAAAGTAAGGTATTGTGCTTCTGTACACAATGCATACTCAATAACCATCTATGGTCAATTTGAGTAAAAATGTGTCAAATTTTTGTAAATTTTTTTTTATTTTAAAAATTGTGGGAAGGAGGCAAGCAAACTTTGGGTTTTCTACTTTGCATCTCAAGATACCTACTCTCATTTGTAAAATAATGGAAACAGCTGAGGGAAGGATTCCTGATAGAAGGCTGTGTTCTGTGGCTTTGTTTTAAAATGCTGCCATCTAGCGACACTTCTGTAAAATTACACTGTGGCCATCACACTCAAGGTTGGATCTTGCTGTAGTACCTACTTTAATAATTTATGTTTTCTGCCATCCATACAAAAGAATTGTACATTCAATAAAGTGTACTGTGGGAGCCTGTGGTGGTTCTCTGATATGATGCCATATCTGTGACCACAGGGCATTAATAACGGGATCCAGTAGGTGAACTTGGTACCTTCTTCACAGTCCATACTTTATAAATAATTCACAATGAAATAAAGTACAGACTTTTGTATTACTTGAGTTTTCTAAGAAGGATGAATTCTATTCTAAAAATGTGTAAAAAGATGAGCTTGAAAATTCTTTCATTAAAAAATTGTTTCTCTAATTAGAAATATGGTGAGTAGAAAGATGATTTCAATTTCAAGATCTCTGTTATTTATTCACACAGAATTTCAGTCATATGTGTATCTCACAATGCACACAGCAACAAATGTGCCTGTCTATTAAGCCTGGTCATGAATCTATGAGGCTAGATTCTGATGATCTCCAAGTCTTCTTGTTGTGGATTAACTGTCTTGCTTTCCAGTCTCTCTCAAAAGATGCACTACCGTAGAAAATGTCTTGCTTATATGCTATACGATCCTCAATTTGAGTGTAAGATTAATTGTACAAATTCATTTCTCTACCTTGAAAGAAAGCAACAAGGCCAGTTAAGTATTATGGATAAGGTTTTCCTTTTGTGAAATGATAGATGCATCCAAGTTACAATAATTTTAGTTTTGTGAACTGAATTTCCAAGAATAAAAACCACACCTGTGTTAAGAATTCCATAAAGCTGAATAGATTAGTGACTGATTAGAACATCTGTGATTTTGGATAGCTTGGATGTGGTAGGTTTGGGGCACAATTATCTTAGGCTGTCTTTAGTCTCCTTAATAGCCATTCATTGTTCACCTCTGTGGGCGGCCTGGCATTCTTGTGACTATCAGGTGGAATAATTTGGGAAGGTGCTAACAAAACTAATTGCTTTCCTCAGCCCATAAACTTAGAATGTCATCAGATAACACTTGGGGCCCATTACAGAGACTTCTCCATTTTGCTTTAACAACTTGATATTTCTATGGATGTACTTGAGAAGGGACATGGTTTATGACTTTCTTTTGTTCTTTTAGTGTACTTCATGAAAGTTCTGCCACACTGGACATGGTATATTTGCGGTAAACTGAATCTGTCTCCTTGAAAATTATCATGCACATTTGCATCTCAAATGAAATGCCTCTTATTCCCTTTCTGGCAGGAGCTATGTTTTTGTATCCACAGTTCTGGGCACACGACATGGGACCCCCAAGGATGATACACCTCACTGCAGGAGTAATATGCATCTGTGTCAGTTACTAGCATGAGCCTCTCATGCACAGTTGCCTAGTTGTGGTGATATATTATTTATGATTTATTAAGCTTTCCTGATGATTCAGAAAGCAAAGCCAGCCTCAAGCCATAGATATCGGGCAGGGGTAATACATACCTTTAATCCCAGAAGTTATAAAAACTAGAAAGGGGTGCACAAACCTTTAATCCCAGGACTCAGGAGAAAAGCAGATGAACTCTGAGTCCAAGACCACCCTGGGCTACTGGAGGCTACTAGAGAGGGAATCAGAGCTCACGTCTTTAATCCCAGGATTTGAGAGGTATGAAAGGTAAAGGCATTTAGTCTGAGAATTAGTATCTACCCACATTGAGGAGAGCATAGCAGTCTGAATAAATATAAGTGATGTTGGGAACAGTTTGAACACCACCCCTTTGGTCCTAACTGAGTTAGAGGTAAGAGCTAGTGACTGGCTGCTTTGCTTTTCTGATCTTCAGGCAAACTTTAATAAATCATAAATAATATGTCACCACAATTCCCCTTTTTCTCTAATACAAAAGGAAGGCTACAACTAACAAAAGAGTAACTATATACAATAAGTGTATACAATATGTAAGGTGATAATTACATCAACAATGTCTAGTCCATTTGCATTTGACAAATTCAGAGAAAATATCTAGACCATTTGGATTTAACGAATTCAGAGGAAATACTTCATTATCTATTTTATCTTGTTTAGTTCAAAGTCTTGTACCTAACTTTCTATTTGAATTTGCATTATCAAATTATCTTTTAATGTCTCTCAAAGGTTCATACTTTACATTTCTTTAGTGAGTTTCCTTACTGAGTCTAGTAAATAAGGAAAACTATAACTACCTAGCTTTCAACTCCCCTAGATACCCAAGAAGAAAATAATACCTGGTGTTGCCTCATTGGGTGGATATTGGTGACATCTTTCTGGAGGGTGGACTTTCCTTACACCAGTGGATGATCCACTAGTTTGTTTTGAGTTGGTAGTTGGGAAACTATTCTGTTTGAATTCTATTTGCATTTGTTGTTGTTGTTTGTTTCTGAAACATTTAGTTCAAGGTTATTCATTTTGTTTTCAGAACATTCACTCACAGGCATTTGGCTTGTTTCTGTTTTTAGAAGCTTTGTTAATTTGCTAGGATTTGACACTTTTCCTCCAATATCTAATTCTGTGTTTTACTCTGGCCTTTGTCTATCACAAACTTCATGATATATAAGCATTTGAAGGGGAAGCCCAGAAAAACACACTTATTCTTAGGATGGAATGAATTTTATTGGATCAGTGGGAAAACAAACATAAGGACTGATCATGCAGTACACTGAGTCCCCATACAGTTCGTATAAATGCCCAGCATGTAAATATCCAGGACAAGTCTTAGATACAGTGGAAAGAAATGACAGGGTGAAGACTATTGAGGGAGCTCCTTCCAAAAGTACAATGTGATGTCACCCAAATCACCCCTAGCTAACACAGAGAAGTTTGAAATTTTCAGGGAAAAAATGAGGAAAAGATGAAAAGAAAGAAGAAATATTTGGAGAAAAACAGCTATTTGGTTTTCTTCCTTAATTTGGTATTCTTCCTCATTTTGTGTTTAGTATTTGTTTATTAATTCAACTTTATAAATAGACACATTTGAAGAGAACCTGGCTTATCACCGCCTCACTGGAGAACATCTGGTTTTCCTGGTGTATTTTATTTGGTGTTTTCTTTGTTCTTTTCTGTTTTTGTGGTTGGTGTTGTTGTTATTATTGTTTAATCCATCTCCTTTTTATCATTTTATTTTATATGCATTGATATTACATGAGGATGTAAGATCTTGGAATTACAGACAGTTGTGAATTGCCTCATCTTGGTTTAATATTGGAATTCTTTTGCATCTAGAAATTTGCCAGCTTTCATATTTTCCAACTCACTGGAATGTATTTCAAGAAAAGACCTGATGTTTTTTAAATTTCATTGGTAACTGCTGTAATGAGTCCCCTTTCATCACTTATTTTATTAATTCGGATCTTTTCTCTTTTCTATTTGATTAGTTTGACTAAGGCCTTGTCAATCTTATTTATCTTTTCAAAGAACTGACTGCTCACTTTATGGATCCTTTGTATTGTTTATTTTGTTTTCCATGTCATGAATTTCTGGCCTGATCTTAAAAATTGCTTTCTTTCTGCTACTTGAGGTTTGGCCTGTTCTCCTTTTTCCAGAACTTAAGTGCATCAATAATTTATTGATTTATGATCTCTGGTTTCTTTCCTTTCTTCCTTCCTTCCTTCCTTCCTTCCTTCCTTCCTTCCTCCCAACTTCATGTTCTTTCTCTTTTTAAAAAAATGACCAAAAAAACCTAAACCAACAAAAAGCATCAAACCTAGTGATTTATTCTTGTGGGCATGTAGAGCTACAAACTTCACTCCCATTGGTTTTGATGTTGTGTTTTCATTTTTATTTTCTTATAGGAATGATTTTTTTCCCAAGGACTCACTCAATGTTAAATAGTGTATTGTTTAATAACCCTGTGTTTGTGTTTTTCAAGAGGTTTTCTTGCCTTTGTAGTCTTAATGTATTGTAGTCTGATGGAATACAAGGAATTACTCAAAATTCCCTGTATTTGTTATATCTGATTTGTGTCCTAATATATGATGTGCATTGTGCACTGTTTGGATGCAATGTTCTGTAGATATCTATTAACTCTATTTGATCTATGATTTCATTTAACTCAGGTATTCCTTTATTTATTTATTTATTTATTTTTCTTTATTTTTTTGTGGGGATGACCTGCCAATTTTTGAGAGTTAGGTATTGAAGTCACCTCTACTATTGTGCTGGAGGTTAATATGTGACTTTATCTCCAGTAGTAGTTAGTTATTTTATGAAATTAGGTGTAGCTATGTCCAGGGCATATCTGTTTAGAACAATGATGTTCCCTTGATTGATTGTTCCATTAATCATTACAAAGTTTTGGCTTTCACATTTCTGATTAGTTTTGGTTCAAATTATATTTTGTCAGACATTATGACAGTGATACATGCTTGTTTGTAGATACATTTGCTTGGAGTAGCATTTTTCATTCTTTCATTTTAAGGTGATAAGGAGTTATGGGACAAATGTATTGAGCTGAGCTATCAGAGAGGGAACTGTTACTGTTCAACAATGTTACAAAAGACTTGCAATACTTGTCCTTACTGCTTCTAATCATTAAACCAATGAAATCTTGTTATTTTCTTCTCTAGGGCTGTTTTGTTGGCTTTGATCTAGCACATGCAGTTGGGAACATTGAACTCCACTTACATGACTGGGGCGTTGACTTTGCTTGCTGGTGCTCATACAAGGTTAATGTCTGGTATCTTTTTATTCCACAATGATTTTAATATAATCAAAAACCTTGGTCCATGATGAACATTCTATTTCTGTCAGTCCTGGGTTTTCTAAAGTCATATGATAGAATAATATGAAAAATAATTTAGTTCTATTATTCCCACAACTGTAGAAAATTTATTCATTAAATTTCCAGGCTACTGTGAAAGTAAATTAAGTGTAGAGAAAAGATTCCACTCTTAGAGCTTAATTCTTACTGATTAAGGCCTTTTGATTTTGAGGATATGAAAACTAAGTACAATATCTCTATGTATAAAAGTAAAATTCTTGGACTGTGAGTTTTTGACACAGAGCATTTGAACAAACCCTTTGAAATCAGTGAACCATTAGTTTACCTGCTACCTACTAACTAGTGATACTAGGCATCCTGTGGACACCTCTGGAGGTTTCCTGACTCTCATGATCTGAAGGAAAGAATTGAACACAGACACATGAAGAGCCACAAAAGCAGGGCTGTGTGTTAAAGTTAATTTTCTAGGTAGGAATTATGCAAGAGCAAAAAGAGCCTAGTAGTTCAAAAGGCCCAACTCCATGGGAATTGCAGCTTTGGGCTCCTTTCTTTTTTTAGCATTCCATGTATGTTTTATCTGTTAAATGTAATTCTACATACAACTTCATGCCTCACAAGCATGTATTTGGCCATCTTATGTTTCCCCCATAGGGGTGTGTGTTAGCATATTAAATGAACCACAGATCACTTTCAGACAACAGCCTCTTGCATCTGTTTATATCTGCTCTGTTGCTGGGATTCATTGGCCTTCAGGAGAGGAGCAGACTATCTAAGCAGCTATACATGCAAGGCTCTCCAGAGCCTCACTCTGCCCTACCCTCCTGATGCAATAATAAGAAAAATAATATAGCTTCATATTTTCAACTTAGTAATATTTTTCATTTATTTTTCTTTTAACAGTAAGACCTGATAATCTGTTTCAGTGCCCAAGCTCAAATAATCACACATTTTGAACTGGTCAGAAGTTATGGGCTTATTTAAAGGAGGGGAAAATGAAAACAGTGTTTATATTTTTCTCATGTATTCAAGTAAACCCATAAAATTTCACTTCCTTTCCAGTATTTAAATTCAGGAGCTGGAGGTCTGGCTGGTGCCTTCGTCCATGAGAAACATGCTCATACAATCAAGCCTGCGTGAGTAGCATCCAAGCTTTTATTCTGCTTTGAACAAATCGGTGTGCATTCCTAGGATGTTAAACATTTCTAAAATTGCTCATGAACAGGAGCTGGAGTAGATTATAATTATTTTACCACTCCATTAACAGTGCCATGCCTTATCAGAAATAAATGCTTTCCAGAGACTTCAATTGGTTGAATGAGAAGTTTAATCAAAAAAGAAATCTTCAGTGCAAAGTGAGTTCTTGCAATCATGTAGAGCCAATAGTTTAAGGCAAAAGTCCTCTGGAAAGTTATATTTTCTAAATGTGTTGCTTCAGCTATCCAATTGCTATAAATACAATTTGGCCCTCCACACAAATCAACCACAATGCTGTGGCCATGACATGAAAGTTACAGGTTGTGTTTGAGTTCCCCAATTGCCAGCGTGCCAGATGAGCCACTGGAATCAGGACTTTTACCAAGTCTCAATTGCTTTGCCCTCTAAGCTGGTCATCATCTTTAGAGTAAAGGCAGTAGACTGAGAGCTCTTCCTCCTCTGGGGAATAGGAGAAGGAGCAGCAGGAAAAGTGGAGGAAGAATGGAAGTGATCATTGCTTGGCAGAACTTGAGAAGCAGCTTCAGTCAGTACATGAAAAACTGGCTGTCCTATCTCAGGGCCCAATAGCTAAGCCCAAGCTGAAGGGAGAAAACAATGAAAAATGGAAGAACAAGAAGACAGAAAACATCAAGCCCAGCTTGGGATTGATGAAGATGGTGAGAGGTCTCAGCTATCTTGACCCTTTACCCAAAGAAATGTAAGAAAAAAGCAAGTGGCAGTGGGGGTGGCAACACTGCTACTCTAGTCCACCCTGGCTTTGGACCTTCAGAAAGAAGTAACTACAAGATACACAAGGAGGCCACAGAGACAGCCCCTCTCTCTTACCCATTTATTAAGATTCAGAGGGGCAAGAAAAGAGCAGGCCCAAGAGCTATAGTGAGCAAAGGCAGTTGAGCATGCATATCAATATTACCTGTAAAGAATCAGGGTTGACAATCACAAAAAGACAAACAAGATATCTACTCACTCATATATGGATTTTAGACATAGAGTAAAGGATTACCAGCCTACAATCCACACTGCCAGAGATGCTAGTAAACAAGGAGGACCCTAAGAGAGACATATATGGTCCCCTGGAGAAGGGGGAAGGGTCAAGATCCCCTGAACAAATTGAGAGCATGGGAAGAGAGGGAAGGGAGCTACAAGAATGAGAAGGGAGGAAGAGGAAGGATGGAGAGGTCATGAGGGAGCAGAAAGGTTGAGTCAGGGAAAGAATAGAAGAAAGGGTAGGTGAAAGGTAGGGTTTTAGTTGGGGGGTAGTAGGGGAGGATAGGAGGGAGAAGGGAACTGGGATTGTCATGAAAATCAATCTTGTTTCTAATTCAAATAAAAAATGATTAAAAAAAAAGAATCAGGGTTGAACCACACATGTCACTGAAGCTGAGGAGCCCTCTTTATGTGACTCAAATCTAGAAGCAATTGGGATTGATTTTGAAACTTATAAGGTGTGTACACTTAGCTTGAGCACTGTTTTATCGTGGCTATGAAAGAAATGTTCGAGCCTTATACCATTAAATCCATGGGAAACAATGAGTGCACCAAATGACTATAAAATACCAAGTGGCCACACCCCTACACACAGACACACAGACACAGACACACACACACACACACACACACACGTAACAACAATTAATGAAAATGAAGCCTTGGATTTGAAAGAGAGCAAGGAGGGATATATGGGAGGATTTGGAGGGAGGAGAAAGAAGGAGGAAATAGTGTATTATAATCTCAAAATGTATAAAAGAAACAACTTTAAAAAACACCTCCACAATCCAGTTGTAGAGAGGGAGGAGTGATGAGCAAAGCCATCAAGAGAATGCTGGGGAAACCCACAAAAACAGCTGACCTGAGGAAGTGGGAACTCACAGACAGCTGAAGAACCATTATAGGACTAAACCAGGCCTCTTGAACATGGGTGTCAGTTAGGAGGCCTGGGCAGTCTATGTGGCTTCTGACAGTGGAAACAGTATGTATCCCTAGTGCACAAGTAGACTTTGGGAGCCCATTCCCCATGGAGGGTACTCTTTCAGCATAGATACACAGGGGAGCGTCTAGGCCCTGCAATAAATGATGTGACAGATTCTGATGGTCCCCCATGGAAGGCCTCATCCTCCCTGGGGAGTGGATGGAGGGTGGGATGGGAGGGTTGGTGGGGGACATTGGAGGATGGCAGGGAGAAGAAACACAGATTGATATGTAAAATAAGTTTGTTTCTAAATTTAGAAAACTCCACAAATAAGAAAGGGAGGGAGAGGTGGAGGGAGGAAGGAAGGAAGGAAGGAAGGAAGGAAGGAAGGAAGGAAGAAAACCCTTTGGGAATGGCCAAAAAGAGCTAGCTTTGGAGAAGTAGGAACTACAGATGCAGTTAAGATGTCAGTGGACAACCCAACTGACCAAACAGCCTCTCAAGACGGTGAGTGTGAAGCAAGGCCACTGTGTTGCAAGTCCCAGTGTCTCTGCAATTCCAGCCCCAGATTTAGCTCCTGATCCCCATCTTCATCTCCTTGTGATACCATTCATTTTGTTTCAATCAGGGTAAGAGACAGTTGGGGTAGGAAGTGCCAAACCCCTTAAACACGCTGCCCCAATACTGAACTCCGTGTTGTGATACTTATTCTCAGACATAGCTATGGGAGATATGGCTGTATAAGGAAGAAGAATACAAGGACATTCATTGAAGTAGGGACATGAGCAAAATAAGATTGAATTCCCCAGACCTACTGGCAATGACCTCTTAGATGTGGAATCTTTCAGAATGATGGAGGTGGAGCAAAGGTAGGGGTAGGAAAGGGCCAAGGCCTAGCACAAGGCTTCCAGAAACTTAATCTGCCCTGTTTATTCCTAAGGACCCTGTTTTGGGGTTTTGCTGTTGTTGTTGTTGTTTGGGTTTTGTTTTGTTTTGCTTTGCTTTGTTTTTGCTTTAATTTATTTAAGCTAAGTAAGACTTGTAGTGGGTAGCACCATGGCCCTACCCTCAGCCTCCATTGGGTATGAGAAGAGGCAGGAGTTCTCTTTTTCTTATTGGCCTTTTCCTTCTCTATTTCCTTTGTCCTTCCACTTCATATAGAGCCTGGGAATTTGGTCATATCTTGTTCATTTGGATCCCGTAACTGTCTTTCCTTTGTCTCTTTATTCTAACTTGTAAATAAAGAAAATATTGTTGGAAAAGTTATACATTAGAAAACTTCTTATTTATTATCAATATAATAAAGTTTAATAGAGGCCCAAGTGTGTTGTTATTCAAATTGCCTCGACATTTAATGCTGCCAGTGTCACAGGATACCTTGTAAGGAATATCTTCTCTCTTGAAAGACTTTACAATCCATGAAACCTAAAGGAGCTGAACAATGAACAATGGCATTGCAAGGTAATACTTGCATGCTTTATACAGCTCTTTTCATGTTTTACAATATACCAGCATATTTGTGCATTTTTATTTGATGAGGGAACTCATTATGTGCCTTTCATTTTTATCTAGTGTGGAGATAAACAAATAAAGTCATGCATCTTATTTGTGTTTGTCCTGGAATGTGTTGGATGAGCATCAGGAATGCCACTACATGATGCAGTACTGTTGGTTAGTTTCCTTCATCCCTTTGCTACTTGCTCAATGATTTAACCTTTAAAGAAATTACAGGAGAATTAGTAGGCCTTGGAGCACCTCCCATTTCTGCAAACCTCTGCATATTAATCCTAGAAATAGAAGATCATTTTCTGTGGGTTACTTAATCATGTCTGAAGTCTCTTCAAGATTTCAAGCTTCTAAAATTAAAGAGTGCTTTTTCTTTGGACAGCTATTTAGTCAGACCTGTATTTAAATATATTGTTGTCAGTACATTAAATAGTTCTCTATATCCCAAATCTTCAGAGAAGAGTATAAAGTACGTTTTATGAGAATACTACACACATTTTAACTACACTGTTTTTGGGTGTGTGTGTGTGTGTGTGTGTGTGTGTGTGTGTGTGTGTGTGTGTGTGTCCATGTGTGGTACATGTGTGGGATTGTTTCATGCACATGTATCTATATCTAAGTGTGAAGGCCAGATGCTGATTTCTCATCTCTCCTCAGTTGTTCTTTTCCTTATGTTTTGAGACAGACTTTATCAGTGAACCTGAAGCTCACTGATTGGGCAAGGCTACATGGTGAACAAGTTCCCAGTATCCCCTTATCTCTGCCCCACAAGTCTAGGTTTACAGGTGTGTACTATCACTCAGAAAATTTTACATAGGTGCTAGGGATCTGAACACAGGTATGTCCTTATGCTTGTAGAATAGGCACTTTATAAAATGACGCATCTCCCTAGCTGGGAAGATAGCTCAGCGGATAAAGCACTTGCCCAAGCATGGAGACCAGCATTTGTATTCCCTAGAATCCATAAAAATCCAGATGTCATTCCACACACATAGTAACATTAGCTTGCCTGTGATATAAAGGCAGACACAAACAAGAGTATCTCCTGAAGTTCCCAGGCCAGCTAGCCTGCTTTGGCATATGTCACAGTGAACAACGAAATAGATACCAAGGTTGTCCTCTGACCTCCCCACTTGTGTACCATGGAATTATGTCTAAACACATACATTGGAACAAGCAATCACATACAATACACAAATACCTGCAGCACACACATACACACAACACACACACACACAAATACACACAGAAATAATATTGCTACCACTTCATCCAGCTTAGTTGTTTTCTACATAGTTGAGATACAAGGTGTTTTTTTTTTTTATGTTTATGTGATGAGCAATCTTCTCAGCCATTTCTCAGTCTCTGTTATTTAAAATGGGATAGAAGATCTGATATATGACATCAAATTGAAGGGCAAACTGGTTACCGAAGGACAGAGGAGGAAGTAATTTATACATGCTTTAGGCCATGCTAGGAGTTAAGCTCTAACCTCCCAGTAGAGGCG